TCCTCTTCCGGAAGCCGAACTGGTTTGGCGCGAGCCCACCAGCGCGCTCTATCGCTGCCTCCAGCCTTAAAACAATCATCTTCTCAAATACCTTCCCAATCGTATCCAGCAGACAGATGGGTCTGTACGAAGATGCCTCGCCCGCTGGCTTCCCCGGTTTCGGGAGAAGAAGAAGCTTCTGGCGCTTCCATCTCACTGGGAACGAGCCTTCCGCCAGGCACTTGTTGAACAAATCGGCGATCGCTTTGGCGTGCAGTGTGAGCAGCAGTTTGGTCGCCCTGTTAGGGATTGAATCAGGGCCTGGCGCCTTCTTGTTTTTGAGCGTCCTCGCTGACACTAGGATCTCCTGCTCCGAGACCGGGCATATCTCCATGGGCTCCCTGCTTACATGGAAGTTGAGCGGTTGCCCAGTCGGAAATAGCACCCGGACTATGCCTTCGAGAGCCTCAGGGTCCGTTGGCGCCTTGCTGCCAGCGCTCACTCGCTTTACGACTTTCTGGTAGGCCCCGCCCCATGGGTCCTTCTCAACGTCGTCGCATAGCTTAAGAAAGCACTCTCTCTTACTGGACTTTATCGCCTTCTTTAGGGCCGCCCTTGCGGTCCTGTAAGCCTCGCTGCGGGCTGGTAAGTTCGGAGAGCCGCGCGCTCTCTGGACTTTCCTCCTGGCTCGGAGGCAAGAGGAGCAGAGGTTTGCGATGTCATCGCTCCACCAGTACACCGGTGCGTGATGCTTCCGGAAAGATTTCCGCTTCTGCATACTTGCATTGCATGCACGCTCGACCGCGGCCGCCAGTTTGAGCGCAGCATCGTTAGCGCTGTCCGTTTCGTCTGTGGCTAGGCCCGCTAAGGCGCTCGAGAACGCTTGGGCGTTGAGCGTGTCTTGCCGATATGCCTTATTTGCGCTGGGCGGGATCGTCCTGCTCGGTGAGTTCTCGCCGAGGGAGACGAGGATGGCCTCATGATCGCTGGCTGTATAGATCTCGCTGATCCTCCACCTGGCTAGGCAGGCTAGTGCACTGCTAGCGTAAGTGAGGTCTATAACGGACCCTGCTCCCGCTCTGTTGAAGGTATGCTGGGTACCCTCATTCAGCAGAGCAATATCCAGGGAGGCGAAGGCCTCCAGGATGATGCGGCCTCTGGCGTTGGTTGAGGGCGCCCCCCAATCCTGGGCCCAAGCGTTGAAGTCGCCGCCCACTAGTGTGTTGCTCCGTCCGCGGATGTCATCGCTGAGCTCGTCGATGATGCTGCTGAAGGCCTCCAGGGTGAGGCTTGGTGCCAGGTAGCAGCTGTACACCCACACCCCGCCTACTCTACCGCGAACGAAGCCATCCGCCGATCTGACGTCGGACATGTGAGCGGGTTCCCGCCCGCACATCCACAGCGCAGCTTTGCCAGTCCGGTCCATGGCCTAACCATGTGTGCTTGCAGCCTTGTATGGCTCGCTGAGCACCGCCACATCCACGTCCAGGTCGCGCACCGTCTGCATTAGCAGATCATGCGCTGCCCTGCAGTGATTCAGGTTCAGCTGAATCAACTGCATGGCGCGTTACGGGGGAAGGCGCCACTGCTACTGGAGCTCCTGGTCGGGCAGCTTTTGCTGCCTGCCTGGTGCCTCGTCTCCTTCTTGCCGGAAGCAGCGCAGAGGAAGCATTTCGCCTCGTTGGGGCACTTAGCGGCTTTGTGTCCCCTCTCCCCGCATTTTATGCAGCAGCCGCTCCGGTCGGTCGCGCTTCTGCAGTTTGCGGCCAGGTGGCCAGCCTCGAGACACCGGTAGCATCTTGGGGGGGCCTGTCCTCTCCCTGATCGTGCAGGAAGTCCAGCCTATGCGTAGAGAACCTCTCTTTAGCACCGCCTTTGCCAGGGGGGCACGGGAGGCTAATTACTGCCGTCTGTGACTCGGCATAGCCAGGGCGGAGGCTTCGCACTTTGACCTTGGCCCCATCCAAGCTGAATTGCTCCGCGATCGCGGCCACAATCTCGGGCTCTTTGGCTAGGGCGTCCAGCTCTCGGATCTCGAGCACAGAGACCTTTGAGTCCTCTGACATCGCCCGAACCTCCGCCGTTTCACCAAGCACCTGCGCTATGCTCGTTCGCATTGACGCTGCGCTCTCAGCGCTATTCTTCGCCACCTCTAGCAGAAGGTTTCCGTTGGTGGTTCGTCTAAACTTTTTGACGCTATTACCCAGGCCTGCAAGCTGGCTGTCGTCCCTTCTGGTGACCATGGCCAGGATTTCACTGTATGTCTTCCCTTTAGCAGCTATAATGACTGCGTCCGGGCGGGATCGATGAGGAGCCTCGAGTTTCTTGCGCCGCTTTTTCCTCGTGTAGGTTTTCCAGGCGCCTCCCTCGGCTTCTGGGCCTTCAGTCGCTGGGCCGGTTGGCTGCGGCGGGTTGGGTTCCCTGGATTTGGGCGCGCTGGCCGCGGGTGTCCCTCTTGCGGAAGTTTTCCCCTGCTTAGCAGCTTCAGCCGGCGTGGGGGCGCGCCGCAGGTTCTTCGCGCTCGAGTTGGCCGCCGTTACTTGCGATTTCTCTGTAGTGGTGGTCGGGGCTCGCCGCGCCTCCGTCTGTGTCGCGTCGTCCTTGCTCCAGACCTTGGGCGTCTGCTGTGCTGCGTCCCGCCTCTGAGTGCTCTCAATCTTGTTCCCGCCCTGGGAACAGTTGTGGCATGCTACTGCAGTTTCGGGTCGGTCCGTCTCCTCAGGTTTCCGAGCAGAGTTGAGCCACTCCCCTATGTCGGCTTGCAGGTCCTTCACCCTCGCCAGCTTGGTCTTCATAACCAAGGTTATGTGTCGGACCTTCTTGTTATTGATGTCGTCGAGGACATCATCCAGGATCTTTCCCAGCTCCGCAATGTTTTTGAGACACTGGGATTCCCTGCATCTCTTAGGTGGCGTATCTCGCTGAGAGCCTGCTGGGCTGGCGGCGTCCCGTGCCCTTTTGGGAGTTTGGGAGTCCGCATTCTCTCCTGCTGTCGGTACCGGAGCCTTGCTCGCTGGGAGGAGCGGGGATCTTAGAACCCTGCTGCTCCTTCTAAAGGCCATTGGACCGTCATCTTTCTCGTCGTCTTGGCTTGGCGTATTAACTACCGTGGCGGCCAAGTCAGCCACCGCCACGTCAGTGCTTGGGGGAATGTTTTTTTTGGCATCCTCTGGGGATATATGAGCGGGAATTGGCATGGGAATCAGCCATGGGACCATTCGCCGGGGACTTATTGAATAAATTTTAGATTCGCGAAGTCCATGGAAAATGTCACTGCTTGGTTAAAGGCATATCAAGGCCAGTTTGGAGTTCGCCAATAGCCCCTTGAACTGGCACTATTCAAATGGCGTAATGTCCTTTGGACAAATGACTCCAAACTGGTTTTATTTGGTGGAATAGGACAAGACAATATGTCCGTCGACCTCCAAATACATAGTACCCTCCAAACCATACGCTGAAGACAGTAAAACACGGTGGCCCAAAAATCATGGTATGGGTATACTTTTCATACAACGTTGTAGGTCCCGTATATATGATCTGTGGGATCAAAGACCATTATGTTTATGTCCAAATATTAAAAACTGTCTTGCAGCCGTATACTGAGGAAAATATGCCATTAATTTGGACATTTCAGCAGTACAGTGACCCTAATCATACCATCAAGGTGGCCAAGGAGTGGGTTTTTAATGAAAAAGTGGATGCAATGCCATGGCCTGCACAGTCCCCGGATATAAATCCGATCGAAAACTTATGGGGGACATCAAGGGCTACGTATTAAAGAAGTTCCCGACTTCTAAGCCACAGCTTTGGCAATTTGTGCAGGAGGAATGAGGCCATATTCCCCTCAAGCGTTGCTAAGACTTGGTGGACTCCTTGCCACCCAGGTATGAGGCTATGATAGCTTCTAAATGCTATTTAACAAAATATTAGATCATAGTCAATTAGAATTTGAGAAGAAATAGGTGTCTTATACGATATTTTTAAATTTATGAGGAATTTTAGTTTTTCACTGCTATTTCAATGATCGGCATAATATAGACCTTTTTTATTGTTATTAGCTATATCTTCTATTAGGTTTATGTTACCTAAATTAAATGATTGTGGTATGACTACACTAAGCCTTTATGAAAAAAAATTTTATGAAAATAGTGTTTGTAATAGTATTTTCCAATCTTAAACGTGCAGGTCTTGGGGCACTGCTATTTCCGTGAACACAGCTGTACCAATTTTTTTGAAATGCTGACAACCCTTAAATGGTCCCTCTCAAATACGAAACAGCGGCGGCGGATTTGCAATAATGTTGAAGGCTAGAATCGAACCGATTTTAAGGTGCACCCACAAAATAATTATTTATAAATCATGTACTTTAGTATTAGCTAATTCAATTATGCAATAATGTTCCCAAAACCTAAACGAATATAATACAATTAACATTTGTAACTTACATAATCGCATTGTATTTTAACATAATTAATTTCTGATTTTGCGGATTTGAATCCGCCGGCCCAATGGCAAACGGAAAGTTTCCGAGCGTTTGGCCTGCAAATTAACAGAGACTTACCAGAGGGGAAATGCGAATCCGTAAGACTTTTTCGGAAGTGAACAGGTCAGGGAAATCCAAATCCGAATAAATTTTGCGGAAGTGGAAACTAGAACAGGCCTGATAGTTGTTTTATGCGATTTCAATAAAAATGTTTAAAATGTTATATACTCCAAAATTCGAAATATTTTTAGGTATTCCCCATAAAAATTGCCAAACGCTGCTCAATCTCTAGGCTAATAAATAAATGGGTTACTCTATCAACTATCTCTTACCCTTCTCCCTTTTACCTTCTCCCTCTCCGATTCTCAAATAAAATGTATTTTAGGTATATTTTTCACCTAAACAAAAATGTACCCGCTTGATCGGGAAATTATCACATAACATTAATATTTATTATGTAAACAGAGTAAGCTTTGACTATTGCCATATAAACTTTTACTGTTGGTTTATTTAAGGAAAACATTTATTTTTCTTGCAGGAAGACGAAGACGAAATCGTAGATGATGAAGTAATAGAAAAAATACTAAATGCTATGGATGCGTGCTTACTTATATGTAATATATATTCAACAGTAACGGATCTTAAGTTCTTACAGGAGGATAATATTTCACACATTATAAAGTTCGCACAATTTCAATTACGTGAGACAATATTTCCTCTCCACGATCCTGTTTATACAGTAAAGAGTGTAAAAAAAAGCAATCAACGCAAAAAATTGAAGTCAAATCAAGCCCATAATAGGAGTCTGCAACTCTTCTACTCAAAAACCGTCGAGCTTTTAAAGGTTTTTGTAACACTTTTTGATAAGTGTATTTTTGTTGACACAATAGTGTTGCCATTATCCTCACTAGCAATTGAACCTTTTTTTGTCGACAATATAGAGACAGTTCAATTTGTTTGTTTGGAACTTGTAACCACAGTAAGTAAAATTTACTTATGTACATTTTTTTTAAATAATTATATATATATATTATTTCTGTTTCCGTTTTTGTTAAAGATATAAATAATAATAAAATTTATATACTATTTTTATTTTCCTGATCATGAGGATTAGTGATTTCAGTTAGCCATATTTTTCAGCGGAAAAGTTTGTATGTCACTTTCGAAGAAATAGTTGTTATAGGACTCTTCTATTATTTTAAAAATATCGTCCGGTGCCAATATTGCGAATGTTTTATGTTATGCCTGTTGGGACGCCCCTGGGTCCCGGGTTTCACCACGTACAACAAGCGCCTGGTTGTAGTATACTGATAGCAACAGCGCTGAAATCTTTATTTAATCTTGTTAAAAAATAAAGAAGTTTTACATTTTCTCTGATCTTACACTTGTGGTTTGCCGCTCTTCAATTCACAAAGTGACGCTTACATATAAAGCGGTCTCATTCTCGCAAAAAAGGGTGTTTTAAAATACTAATCGCAACAATGCCTATCGCATAATTACTTGCGTCTGTGATCAACGTGAACGGCTTGTTGAAATCGGGGTATATGAGTATATATATATATGTTTAAATTCATCGTCTATTATTATAGAATTATTTCCTTTTAACTGTCTTGTTATGGGTTTAGTTATTTTCGCGAAGTCCTTTATGAATTTCCTTTAGTACCCTAATAGTCATAAAAATGACTTAATTTCTCTAGTTGTTTTTGGGCAGGGGAAGTCCTTGATGGCTTGAATTTTAAGTGGGTTTGGTTTCACTCTTTCCTGAGTGACGATGTGTCCCAAGAAGTCGATTTCCTTCCTTAAAAAGCTACACTTGCACGGTTGGATTTTTAGATTTGCGTTTTGTAGTTTTGTGAATACGGATTTATGTTTTTGGAGTGAGGGTGAGAATACTATTATGTCGTCGAGATATACCAGGCAGGCGTTAGCGACTAAGTCACCTAAGACGTTGTCCATAACGCGTTGGAACGTAGCAGGAGCGTTCTAAAGACCGAAGGACATTCTCGTGAACTCGAATGTGAATGCCGTCTTGTTTGCGTCGCGTGGGTTCATTTGAATTTGGTGAAAGCGACTTGCTAAGTCTATTGTTGTGAAATACATGGTCTTTCCTTTGCTGTGTAGTATATCTGCAATGTTTGGAATAGGATATCTATCAGAAACAGTTTTCTCATTTAGTTTCCGAAAATCGATTACTTTTTTTTCGCCTGCGATATTACTTTTCTTAGGAACGACCCAAACGGGTGCACTCCAAGGGGAATGACTACTTTTTATGATATTTTGTTCGAGCATTTTTGAAATTTACTTTCGAACTTTTCGTCTTTTATGTTCAAATGGGTAACTGTAAGATTTTGCGTGAATCGGTGTATTATCTGTTGGTATAGAGCAGGGGTGCCCAAACGTTGCTTATGGCAGAGCAACACACCAATACACATAAATGAAAACACAAATAAATTTACGCAAACGTTTTTTCTACTTCAAATTTCTGCACTGAAAAAAATGAAAGTAAATGATATGTTGTGAAATGCCTTTGAAAATTAAACTTCCTTTTATTTACTAATTCGTTAAAGCAAACAATGCATTGGGGCTCACTAAAGCAATTTTCACAAAAAAAGAAATTAGTTTCTGCAATATCAAACATCTTGCCTGCAACGCAAAATACAACTGATTTTTCGCGATGTACATTTTTCGACGATCCAACAACAACTTACATTCGGACAAGCGAGATAACTGTGAAGCCTATTAAAGTGTTGTTGCCGAGATCAACGAAGACGCGGAGAATGAAGAGAATGCGCAAAATTGTTAGTGTAATCTGCTTTGCTTATGCAGTGAGTCGTGCATGTAAATGGCGATTGCTTTGCCTATGCCTAAGAGCAATTACAAAAACAATGCAAGCGGAAAGAGCTATGGGCTGGGCATAACTGGTATAAAGTGTTTGACGGCGTTAGAGAACGTTAGTTGACGGTTTTCGTCGTGGAGACGTGGAGAGAACTCTTCTGCCTGTAACGGTTCTTCGAGGTAAAGTGTTTGGATCTGGTCTGAGTTATTGCAGACTTCGAAATAGGCAGATCCTGCGACTGTTATGGATATTTGATTACCCAAATTCGTGCTTTCATATATAGAGTCTCCTTGCATGAAGTTTACTGGGAGCGGTAGCCGCATTTTGGTATTTTGTGGTAGAGTATGTAATGTGTCTACAGGGTTTGATCTTGTGAGGATTGGTATTGCGGTTTCTGGTGTTTCTAGTATGGACTAGACTTAATTTCTTTTCCTTCCTTGAGGATGGCCCTCTAGGGAGCTCCTTAAGAACCCGTCGTCGCACCTAATGACACTGTGCCTTCTCACCACGTCCGAAGAGTCGAATGAAGGGATAGCACCGCCCGGCATGGCAACCAACCAGTTGGTTACCATGTCGGCCAACTTGGTCTTTATCTCCTCCCATCTCTCTGCCAGCAGCCGCCCGTCGTCATTGAGCTCATTCCCCAGCGTTATAACCAGACTGTCTCTGGCCCTCTGAGGTTCGCTTTCGCTTACATCGCCTTCGAGATAGGAACGCCTCTGTGTTGGCCTACGGTGGTCCCCAACTGGGCCACACCTGTGTGCGCTTTGACTTGGGGAGTGCTGGTACTAGAGCGACTTGGCATCAGCAACTCATCTTCGTCCAAATTAAACGATCGGTAGATGTAGAGAAAAATTTTAAGCTGTGAAAACCAAAATTTTATATTGTAACGAAAGCCGCCAAACCCAAACGGGCTTTTGATTTGAAAGCCAGTTGGCAACGCCAAAAGCTGTTCATTATTGAGGGTTTTTATTGATCCCTGAATGAGCTAAACGGCGAAATCTGACAGCCAGGATGGCTGGTCTTTCCATTTTGTTTCTTGCTTCTTCTTATGACCGTTACCAGAGAAAAACGCCAATTGGCGAAAAATTAAGAAAATTTGCTAAATAATCTAAAATACGGGTGCCAAGGCCGGATTCTTGGCAGCCATACATATCTATCTATCCATCCGTCCGTCTGTTCGTTTCTACGCAAACTAGTCCCTCAGTTTTGAAGCTATCTGAATGAAACTTTGCATATGGGCATTTCCATGGTGTCGCACGCGACATTCGTACGCATTCAAAGCAAAAAAAAAGTATTCTACATTTTATTTTTATTTCTTTTAAATATATTAACTTATAGCTCTTGCCTAGGGCTATAATTGGTGTTAGTGTTGATTTTGAGTGTATGCTCAAATTTAAGAAATTTAAAAAAAATTGAAGGGTTCGCACGCGACAAAAACAGAGTCACTTTACGCGGCGAGCTGTTTAAACACTGATTTCAGCGAAACGGCTGGGAATATTTTAATGAAACAAATTTTAAAATTTTAATAATGTCATTTTCATCTGCTTTTATTTACAATCAGAAATTTAGCGTAGTTTATTTTTTATTTAATTTTAATAAGGTGTCGCACGCGACAGTTTTTATCATCATACTTTGCATGTAATTTTTTACTATTTAAGGGGTTATCCGGGTTTTAAAGCACTAAAAAAGGCCTATTTCCGTGGATTTTTTTTAAAGAGCATACGAAAATTTTAGAAATTTAATTTATTGTACATTTAAATATAAGTTTTTGAACTACATTGTGTAAAAATTTGAACAACAAATATTAAAAAATGAGCCGTTGAGGCAGGCTTGAACTTAACCCCACAAGAAAGTATGTCCTTGCGGTAGGCAGGATATCTCCGTCAATGTTCATAGGAAATCAAAAAACCAAAGTTTTTCTGTTAGTGTATATGTCTGGCTTGTCTTTGAACGAAGGATTTTTCTTTTAATTAAAAAGTTGAATTTTTGGTAGCCCTTTTTATAAAAAATTTCATATTTTACGTCATTTTTGGACATATTTTGGCTTATAAAATGAGTTGTAATTGAAGATAAAAAAAAAATCTTTCGTTCAACGACAACAAAAACATGTCTAGAAGAAGTGTGCAAAATTAGAAGTCGATCGGTGCAATAGTTTTCGAGAAATCGTGACTACCGACTTCATAAAAGTGGTTTAGAGAAAAACGACGCAAAAGTTCGAATTGCCAGTTGTGACTCATACGACGCGCTAGACTTTAAATTTCTCCCATTCCTACAGTTTTGCTTCGATCGACTTGAAAGTAAGTAAGTAAGTAAGTAAGTAAGTAAATTAGAAGAGCATACATATATCCATTTTATTTCGACTTTTTGCATTCTTCTTGTGGTGTTAGTAAACAACAGTCAAAGCATAATGCCTCGGTTTGGATGTAATTATCAAAAGAAAACAGGCCCATTTTTATGATGTTTTTCATCAAAATAATGAAAAATCGTGTTTGCGCGAATATGCATTCGAATATTTCGAAATTTGTTTTAGAATATGATTAACCCTTCAAATTTAATCAATTGACCTTTTCATATTGTTACTATGTTGGAAACAAAACATTTTAGAGAAGTTTAAATTTTTTGGCCGCGGTTGACATTTCTTTGGAAATATCCATATAGTCTTCTATATACTCTCACTGCTATATACACTACTGGCCAAAATACTAGGTACATACATAGGTACATACGTTTGTTTCAAGTCCTATAAAATTTTTTTAATAAACCTAATGAAAAAACCCTCTTTATTTTTAGTTTCCGTACTTATTCCAGATAATAAGAATAACTGTCAAAAGGATTTTTCATTTCAAATTTAGATACAGGGATCAATTTTATCCAAAAAGCATGAAAATGGGTTGGCCGAAATAATAGGTACACACATTCTTCTAAGTCTAGAACTCGAAACGTATTAGATATTTTGCACTTTTTTCTTCTTATAAGTAAATTTAGATAAGTATCTAATAAAACCACACTAGTTTTAGGTAACTTTCGCTATTATTTTTGGTATTCTAGCAAGAAGACTATATCATATAGCTCCCATACAAATGATCGATACATTTAAAAAAAAAAAATTATAACTTTGCTGTTTTTCAACATTTTTGCAC